TTATTCACCACAGCGCCCCAAGGGATTACAAGGTCAAACAGTTATAAACTCCTACAAGACCATTTCAGGCTGGATACAAGGAAGAATTTCTTTATTGTCCGAGCCCCCAAGGTCTGGAATGGCCTGCCACTGGAGGTGGTTCAAGCACCTACTTTGAATGCCTTCAAGAGAAACCTGGATGTTTTTCTTGCTGGGATCCTATGACCCTATCTGACTGGGCAGAGGGCTGGACTCAATGATCTTCCAAGGTCCCTTCCAGCCCTAATGTCTATGAAATCTATGAAATTAAGAAAATTAAATTAAAGAGGGGCCATGCTGGTCTTTGAGAAAACCTCAGTACTGAGAAGTCAGATATAAGCACAGGTGACAAAGGTAGAGTTTGTGTGAAAATACCCATCCTGTGGACAGTTACATTAGGTGACATTGTTATGGCTTTCATTGACTTGGTCAATGTCAGCATCACAGCCATCACTGTTGTTGATGCTAACGTTTGCTGGTCTGTACACTCAGGCATGGGTACCAAATGTGGCTCATAGACCAAGTAAGCATCACTGCTCTTTATGGTTAAACAAGTTTATGACTGTTTCCTATTTCATGAACAGACTGAAAAACTGCGGAATAGACAAGGAAGCCAGACACTGCTCTGAATCTATCATTTTGCCCAACAAGGGAAGCAAATAAGCATTGGGTTGCATTTGCTTGTGTCTGGATACAGCTGACAAAATAAAAGGTGAAACTGAAAGAGAGTTTGAGAGTTAGAAGTTAACTTACAACTGAACAATGCTGATAAGAGTAGGTAAGGCAACGTTAACTCCACCTTACTGCCACGAGCAGGAAAAGAACTGTAAGTCATCTGTGGCTGATGTAACCTGTATGCCTATGGATGAGAGAAGGCTGCTGATCTTGGAAGCATTAAGCATGTGTCACTGAGCATGGGATCCACATGGATATACAGTTGTTTCATATTCTTTGTTTCAGGTGGACTGCTTTTTGCCTCCACAGCTCCCCAAAAAAGACAGAGGACAAAGAAATAACAGGAGTAAGTTTCCTATGACAACTGACAAGACAAGGTGCCTTTTATTCCACAGTGCAGTCAGACAGTCATCTGACTGGGCAGTTCTTGTAATGAAGTCATACAGTCCACATAGATGGACTTGGAACTTAAAACATTTGTTGCAGTTGTTGAGTGAAACTGGGAAATTAAGTCTTGAAACTTGCAATGCAGAGTACAAAGAAATCTTCCTTCCAATTCCCACTTCCTCTCTCTTTCAAAGGGCAATTTCTAAGTCTTTTCATTTACATTTTGTTATGCTTTCTATTGTAATCTATGGCACTACCAATGACATCCTTGCATTTTAACTTAATCCTCTTGGTTGAACTGATCATATGCTTGTGTTAGTAAATCCTTAACAAGTTTATTGCAAATGTCTTTAACACTTTGTAGCTGACTCAAGTGTAACTTCCTGGACTGCATAACGAGGTCACCAAGTACCAAGCTGCAGAAATCCTGCTCTCAAATCTACCTGGAAGGAGAAAGCACTGGATTCATGGTACTGGGCAGGCACTTGTACTGTACAAATGAAAACTGCAGTCCTCGTGGATGCCTTTGTTTCCACAAAGTTTCTCTAATTAATGCAAGAAAACCTGGAAGCACAAGCGAGTCTTAAGTCTTAAGTACAGCTCACTGGCATTCACATTTAAGTTTGAGAAGGCTAATAGTGATCCTTTTTGTCCATTTTTTTTGTTTATAAGCATTCCAGTACTGCCACCATACTGAAAAACAAAATTCTTTGACAAATTTTAAGCAGGTTATAACATTCTTCTTTACTATGCCACAAGTAGACCAGAACCAGACCATCAGTTTCAGCTCAGGACACTTGGTGAATTCTTGAACTAACAAAAGCTTGTGGTGAACACATCACTTAAGAGCTTCTTCTTAGGCAGTGGATAAAGCAACAGATGGCAATTCAGGGGACTTGAATTCCATCCCTGACTGTATCACTATTTGCTGGATAACCTTAGGCAAGTCACTTGACTTCTCTATGCCCCAGTTTCTCCATCTCTTAAATGGGACGCTTAACGCTTTAAGAAAATGCTTTCAGGTCCACCGATTAAAATTCAACTTAACAATATGCTAAAAATCTTAGGATGCTAGCAATTCACATGAACTATAACAAGCAAAGCAAAGAGAAAAAAGACCACTTAATCTGAATCTTAAAAACCTCAGCTCATCTTGGTAGTTTTTTGGTGAGCAACAATTTATTCTGACCATATCAATTTGTAGCTCCAGGCATCTTTCCCAAATAAATGACAAGGTTATTCTATATTCTCACAGCAGTCACTTAAGCATGTTAAAAACACTCATTATATTGCAACTGCAAGCCAACCCTGCATTTAAAGTACCTACCACATTTTCAGAAAAACAGAAAACAAAAATCCAGCTTTTTCTCCTAAATAAGCAAAGGTAAAGACTCTGAACTGCTCCCATTACTCCCATCCTTTCCACATCCCACAGACAAATCATAAAACCAAATAAAGGACCAAATATTTAAATATATTAAATCTGTTAATATACAGAAACTGCATTGAAAAAAAACTTGAGTTGCCACTTTATTTCATGCACAAAGATACCGCAAGTATGAAAGTCAAGACAGTTGGAAGACCTCTTAAGTCAACTCTGAATATTAGCCTAGTGTGACTTTTACAGTTATTTTGGAGGTAAAAAAAAGTAGGATGTATTATTAGAATAGGGTCATTCAGCAGGTGCCATTAAATTAACCTAATCTTGCTTGCAATTATTTTTAGCTGCTTGTATTATTCATGAAATATGTCACAACACATTATAATATATATTAATTTTATAAAGTAAATTAAAAGCCAAAGCCTACCTTTGGGCACAACTTGCATATTTTAAGGACTGAAGCTTAACTATTTAAGTATCCTTTACAGGAATCTTTTAAAGTTTCTCCCTGCAAAAACTTCACAAACTTAAGAAAGCCTTCAGTGTTATAGTTACACTGAAAGAAAAAAAAAAAAAGCCTCATACATTCATGTCTTCCAAAAGGAGTCTTGTCTCCATTCTTTTGCATCCTGCACACTCATTATACCTCTGTGAAAAGATGCAAAATATTCCATCAAAATGTTTCTAAGGATCTTGATAGAGTTTTGCAGTCTGGGGCTATGCAATCCCTTAAAACTGTCATTTGATTTGTATCTTTGTCTATGGAGCAATAGGACTTGGATGTATGTGGCTTTAGTTTTTATAATATGTGACATCTAGGGTACATAAGAACAATTCCCTTGCATCTGCCTGCAATTTAAAGCCTCAGCCTGATTTCCAAGCCATTTGAAACCTCAGATACAGTGTGTAAACATCCTTTTGCTATGAGATAAAGTTTAAACATTTATACTCCTACAGCACACGGGTGTAAAATTGTCCCAAACGACTGCTCTAATGCACTTTGGGTGAAGAAACAGGACATAAAAAAGGTGCTTCTGTCTTTCTGAAGAGGCAACAGAATTTAGCTTGTATACTGCTATTTATTAATACGATTATGGCAGTCCAAATTGTTCCTTAGTTTTCAGAGTAACTGACGTGACAAAATGTACTTTTAGGATTTTTTTTTTGTCTCTGGTTTCTCAGTTGTTCTCCAGGCTGTGACAGATGCAAAGTTTGTTTGGTTAATCCTGAGAAGGAAAAAGAATGCTTATGATATAACCATTGCCCAGCATTTTCAAAGCTATGTTGCTATTGTCAGAGAAAGACAATGTTCCCCAAAGAGTTTTTCCATTAAGCCACTGATAAAATTACACACAGAGTTTAACAAAAGTTAAAATGCCTGCATATTTCCCTAAATCATTTAAAAGCCTGTTGAAAATGGTTTAGTGCCAAGAATTCCTGTGAAGCTGCAAGCTGTGCAGACACTTTGAGGAAGAATGCAAGACATTTCTTTTGCTTTCTAATTTCTTTTACTGACACAGGGAAATTTCAGCGTTGAGGAAAAAGGAAGTTAGAACATGGATTCACCAGAATTAGCAAGGAGTCTTTCTAGAATTTCTACTCTTCTCTGCTTTGATCATTAGCATCAGATCCATAATCGACCATATAAATTAATTATAGCCCACAAGATATGTGAAAACATCACTTCTCCTCAACAAACTCATGATAAACTAAAAAGCTGAAACTGAACATATAAATTTTCAAGTTTTAGCAACCTAAATACAGCGTATGGAAAATACAAAACAGATCACCTCAATTTTAGATGCTCATTTCTCTGAAATAACCTGCCCTATTTGCCTCAGACCTTTTTATGGCAGGATGGGGATGGGGTAGGAAAATCTTACTCCCCATGGAGTAAGTGATACCTGAAAGTGTTTTTCTTCACTGATTGAAGTTGGAACAAGTTATGCATGAGAAATGAAAAAAAATATTATAAAGTTATGCATATAAGAGACTATTAGCTTCAACCTATGTTTTAGGAGATTTTTTTCTTCTCCAGAATTCACCCACAAAGATTTAGCATTATGTTTTTTCTTTTAAGTCCATATTTATGATCTCAGAATTTTGATCTAAACTACCTATCACATAAAACAAACAAATAAAAAACAACATGACTCCCATCTTTATTTAAGGTTTTCTTATTTTAGAGGGAAGCAACATCCATCATCGCTCACTGAAGGCAAAAAGGGAAGAGCTATACATGAGTCTTCCTTAATACAATCATATACACAGAAAATATCCTGTTTCCCCAGTGATAGCCTACCATGCCTTTATCCTGAAGGCACATCATTAGAGTGCAAACATCTCCCGTTGCTTGATGGTTCACCAGCACCACAGCTTCATCTTCTGTAACTGCTTTAACATCATCTCCCCATTCAACTACTATAAAGAGAAAAAGAGCAAACTTTAAATATGATCGCAATGTTTTTAATACTATTAATATTCTTATTAACAGAAATCTACATGCTACATATCAATTTAAGTTGGCACATAACACAGGAAGCAAAATAGATCAGCATGCCATTTCTTCAAGCAAAAACAGGTACCCAGCCCAGTTTTCAACAGCATGCACTGAGCACCCAAATAAGATATTCTACCAGAACACAGGACAAAAGTAAATAAATATTTTTGTTTAAATCATGCTATGTTCAGGCCAGTGAAAACCACTATAAACTTTTGATACAGCTTTCAAACTCAGTTGTCTCTCTTCAGATGCAGAGGTCAAGCAAAAGTGGTGAAAACTGCCAGATTTTCATCTGAAATGTTTTTCACAATTATTCTCAAAATGTTCTGGTAAAAAAATAATTTTAGTACTCCATGTTTAGGATGTTACATTAGACAAGGTTTACTGTAAGTTCTTCAAACTTGCAGAATTAGTTGTAAAGTAAGAAATGGTCTGAGAAAATTAGTTGCTAAAAACAACTATTATTTACTATTTAGTAAGTGGAGACTAGAAAAATCAAGAAGTAAGAATGGTAATAAGATGATGATCAGCACTTCTGGTTTCCAAAATTTACAAGAATAAGCAGAAGCAACCGAGGAGGTCAGAAGATGGGCGTCATCATTGCTGACTGTCACAATGGAAATAAAAGAGATTATGTCCAACAAAGGACAGAGAGATTAGGAAACTGGTCATAACCTAGCCAAAAAATTACCAAAGCAACTTAACACACACCCAGTCCTGTCACCATGGGAACAGAAGACTGGGAGAGAGTAAAGCCTGGTGTTCCTCCACCAAAATGCAGGTCACTTTGATACAAGGAAAGGCAAGGTAGGAAAGGTGCTGTGAAGTTCAAGAACTCTGGATGCATTGCTCTGAAATTTAGGATAAGATCATTTTTCTGTAACTTGATCTATTACCTCATTAAATCCAGACTTGGCTGACTAATATGCACATTTCTGACACCACTGCAGAAGAGACAGATACCAGATTTCACCTTTACCATAGAACACTACAGAAAGCAACACCATCTCTAGCAGGCCATTCTTGACAACCATCAGCAACTGCATCTCTCGATTTATAATACAGCTTTCCCCACCCTCTCCCCAAAAATAGAGCTTTTGGGCATTTATTCCCTCCTCAGAAATCCAATTACCATTTCACACTCAAAACTTGTCCACCTCCAACACCCGGGCTGCAACTTGGAGCTTGTCCATCTCAGACACCTGCAGCAAACTAATTTTGAAGGGATCCTTACATATAAAACAAAGGATATAATAATTGGACCTCCCACCTCAAAAGAATCAGATGAAGCAGACTAAGGGAAAAAAAACAAAATGACACACGATACAGAGTTTTCTAACCTCCACCTCTACATATTGAGCCAAGCACAACACCTGCATCTATTTCCTCTGTGAAAATTTGGGAGATTTTCCTTGTCTTTGATCCCTTGACTATTTGCATATCCTCTCTTGCCAGCCCATTTTTCATGAATTATGGTTTCTAATTAGTAAAATTATCCCATGAATTCTATTTGTTGAGGATCGTGAATCTGGAATCATGGTTTATTTCACATAGTACAACTACCATATTTACTTGCATACCACATGCATTCCCTCAACCCCACAAAATCAGCCCTCCAAAACTAAGGGTGCGTATCTTAAGCAGGGAAGCTGATTTTTTTCAGTGAAGTAGAAGCAGGGGAACAGAGGCAAGCAGACAGCGACTCACAGTTGCAAAGACAGCAGCCAGTTTTCCCTAGGACTGTAAAGAGCAGGGGCAGAGTCCAGTGTTAACCCTCTTACAACCACAGTAACTACTGGCTGAGCACTGCAGCATGTGCCTGAAACAGCAACTAAGCTGGCTGAGGGCAAATATAGATTATGTGCAGCAGCTCAGAGCACCTTGATGAGGGTTGTGGTATTGAAAAAAACCCAAAACAAAACACTTTACTACTTACCGGAACTTAAATATTTACAGTAAAAATGTCTTGCTACTACCCTTGCAAGAGATTAGCCCAGTGGGTGGGCAAACTGTTTGGGCCTGGGGCCACATAAGGAGTTCTGATGAGTTGTCACAGGCCAGGTCAGCACACCTTCCCCAGCCCCTGCAACAACTCACCAGAACTCCCTGTGAGACAGGCCCATGGGCAGGTGAGGCCTGGATCACGGGGTAGGAGTGCAGGGTGGGCACTTCCTTGTGGGGAGAGTGCAAGGGGCATGGGGAAGGAAGGAAGCAGGGGGCATGTGCACCTGGCATGGGCAGACAGACAGACAGAGGGAAGGCAGCCAGGAGCCGGAGCTACCCAACTGAAGCTTCCTTTCAGCCCATGCAGCAGGACCAGGAGGAGGAGCTGGTGCTGGAGGATGGGGGAGCTGAACAGCACCCAGAAAGCTGCAGCTGCATCAGGAGCAGCCCTACTGGTAAGCTGTGCACACTGGCTGGTGCCAGGCCAGTGGGCACATGCTGGAGGAGCGTGGTGCAGGCTGACCTGGGCAGGGCTTGGCCCAATGCAGAGCACTGCAGGGGCAGCTGCCAACTGGATCCATTCAATTGGTGGGCTCCCCCGACAGGCTGGATCCAATCAGTTGGTGGGTCAGACCTGGCCTGTGAGCTGTATTCTGCCCAAAACAGGTCTAGGACCTAGCCTTGTTGCTGTCCTGCCACACTAGGAAGTTCCTGGTGCCTCACACTGCCTCCAGGGATGCCTCCATATACACAGCTTATTCTAGGTCACACAAAAGTCTTCCATGCCTGGGGTGGGGAATCTTTTTTCCTACATTCTACCTTCCAAGAACAAGGTGCATGTTTCATTTCAGAGAATGTAGTAGTGGAGAAAACAGTCACTGCCATGCTCTCATGCTCTTCCACAAAACTAGCATACAGTACTGAAAGATCTCTCTCTTCTAGTCTTTGAATGAAAATGAGAAAGGACTGTTTTTAAAAGTTTGATGTGCATCTCAGAGTAATTTAGAAGGTTCTCTTTTTCAAGAGATTTAATAAGTAGAAATTAACTTCTAGCACTTTCAGCTTGGCATATTTGAATCTCCCTCCCCCCCTTCCCCAAACCAACCTAAAACAGTAAGTATACATTTCTCACCAGAACATGAAATACATTTTGGTAACAGAAAAGTTATATACCCAAAATATTTGAGGTTTGTTTCAATAAAAATAAGACTGCATGAGCAAGAAGTTTGTTACTTAGTAAATAAGCCATTTCATTCATACTTTTCCAACATGTTAAAATATTAAAATAAGAAACCTAAAATAATTTACATAACTACCAAAATGAACGTAAATAGTTTTAGGGTAACCTCCTACATAACAAAACAATGCACCAAATCTAGAGTTATGGTTCTATTTAGTTTTAAAAAAAAATCTTCATGTCTTAAGGTTACGTCAGCCAATGAGAATATACCTTACCTTAGAAAATACCTGACATACAAATGGTAAGACTGATTCTCAAAATTACCAAGTAGAAAGCCTCTATTTAAATCTCATTAAATTTTTAGTCAATCCTCTCTCAGTCTACTCTGTCACTTATGCAAGAGGGATGCTGAAGAAGTTTGTTTGCTTGTTTACTTAGGTGGTTATTACACATTGAAAAAGTACCATTTTTGCTCAAATGTTCAAACAAAGTTCATTTTACACAGAAAGCGAGCCTGGAAAGTTTGAGCCATCAGAGGGAAATTATAAGCAACTAGAAACAGAGTTCAAATAGAAAGCCAGTTATACAACTTAAGCGCAAACAATACACAGAGGTAAATCCACAGCAATTCAATTCCAACACTAGTCAGAACAGGTTTAAAATTGAAAAAAAAATAGACATTGCACAATGTACATTAGAGCTTTAGTGGAACACTAAAGTTGTTAATATTTGTGCCTGCAGGTCAGATCCGAGGCATGTTAGTGGGGGAGCACGGAAAAGCTTCTGCAATCTATTAACTGCAAGCAAAACCTGTCCAAAAATCTACAGCCACCTTTCATTAGAAGTATCATGCGATTTATAATCTTAGAAAATTGGGTTGGAAGAGACTTCAGGAGGTCTAGTCCCCTGCTCTAAGCAGGACCATCCTCATCCCAGCCAAGGCTTTGTCTAGTCAGGTCTTAAAACCTCCAAGCATGGAGAGTCCACAACCTCTTTGGATACCCTGGTTCCAGTGTTTTACTACCCTCCTAGTGAGAAAATACTTCCTAATAGCTAACCTAAAACTTCACTTGCTGCAACTTGAGACTGTTCCTCCTTGTTCTGTCATCTGCCACCACCAAAAAGAACAGTTTAGCTCCATCCTCTTTGTAACCCCCCTTCAGGTAGTTGACAACTGCTGTTAAATCCCCCCTCAGTCCTCTTCTGGAGACTAAATGAGCCCAGTTCTCTTGGCCTCGCCTCAGAAGTCACGTGCCCCAGCCCTGAACCATTTCCAATGCTCTCTGTTGGACTCTCTCCAATTTGTTCACATCCTTTCTGTAGTGGGGGGCCCAAAACTGAACACAGTACTCCAGATGTGGCCTCAGTAGTGCTGAATAGAGGGGAATAATCACTTCCCTTGTGCTGCTGGCAACCATCCTACCAATGCAGCCCAGTATTTCATTAGCCTTCTTGGCAACAAGGGCACACTGCTGGATGATATTCAGCTCATTGTACACTGTAACCCCCAGGTCCTTTTCTGCAGAGCTGCTGCCCCCAGCCTGTACCACTGCATGGGATGGTTCCCTCTTAAGTGCAGGACATTGCACTTGTCCTTGTTGAACCTCATGAGATTTCTTTTGGCCCAATCCTCCAATTTGTCAAGGTCTCTCTGAATCCTAGCCCTACCCTCCAGTGTATTTGCTACTCCCCCCAGCTTTGTGTCATCTGCAAACTTGCTAATGGGGGTCTTCAACAGGAGGCTGGACAGATATTTGGCTGGGGCGATATGACCCCGGCACCCATTCCTGTCCAGGGCAGGGGGTTGGACCTGATCATCTGTTTAAGTCCCTTCCGACCCTAAGCACCATGATACTATAGTGGTGCACTCTATGCCATCGCCCAGGTCGTTGAAGAAGAGATTGAACAAAACCACCCCCAGGATGGACCCCCGGGGCATTCCACTTGATACCGGCTGCCAGCTAGACATTGAACTGTTGATTACTACCCTCTGAGCCCAAGGCTCCGGCCAGTTTTCTATCCACCTCACAGTCCATTCATCCAGCCCATGCTGCCTTAGCTTGCCCACGAGAATGCTGAGAGACCGTATCAAAAGCCATGCTAGAAATCAAGGTACCCCACATCCACCCGTCTCCCTGCATCCACAGAGCCAGTCACCTCGTCATAGAAGGCAGTCAGGTATGACATGCCCTTGGTGAGTCCATGCTGTTTCACAGATTCATAGATTGTAAGGCCGGAAGGGACCTCGGAAGATCATTGGGTCCAGCCTCCTGCACCAAGCAGGAAAGATAATGGGGGGTCTTGGTGACCCCAGCAAGGTGACTACCCAGTCTCCTCTTGAAGATTTCCAGGGTAGACAACTGCACCACCTCTGGAGAGAGCTTATTCCACAGTCTGGACACCCTACTTGTGAAGAAGTTTTTCACAATGTTTTGAGCCTGAAAGTCTTCCAGGAGGCTGTGGCCATTACTCCTGGTTTTCCCCTCAGGTGCCCTGGTAAACAGTTCCTCTCAGAGCCCTTGATGTACTCCCCTAGTGTAGCAATAAACTGCTACCAGGTCCCCTCTCACCCTTCTTTTTTTCCCACCTTGTTCCCAATCACCTTCTCCTTCAAATGCTTAGAAATGGATTTCCTGAGGATCTGCCCCATGATTTTTCCAGGAACTGAGGTGAGGCTGACTGATCAGCAGTTCCCTGGATCCTCCTCCTCCCTTTTTTAAATGATGGGCACTATATTTGCCCTTTTCCAATCATCCGGGACCTCTCCTGACCCCACCATGAGTTTTCAGAGATAATGGCCAGCAGCTCTGCAACCACATCAGCCAACTTCCTCCACAACCTAAGGTGCATCGCATTCAGCCCCCTGGACTTGTACACGTCCAGCTTTTCTAAATAGTTCTTTGCCTGTTCTTTCGCCACTGTTGGCTGCTCACCTTCTTCCCAAATTGTGCTGCCAGGTGCAGCAGTCTGGAAGCTGACCGTCTCTGAAGACAGAAGTGAAAAAGGCATCAAGTACTTCAGCCTTTTGTACATCCTCTGTTACTATGTTGCCTCCCCCATTCAGTAAGGGACCCACAATTTCCCTCATTTTCCCCTTGTTGCTGGCATACATGTAGAACCCTTGTTACCCTTCACGTCTGTTGCTAGCTACAACTCCAAGTGTGCTTTGGTGTTCCTGATTTCACCCCTGCGTGCCCAAGCAACGCTCTTATACTCCTCCCTAGTTGTTTTTTCAAGTTTCCACTTCTTACAAACTTCTGTTTTGTGATTTGGTTTACTGAAGAGTTCCCTGCTAAGCCAAGCTGGTCTTCTGCCATACTTGCTAGTCTTCCTGCAAATCGGGATGGTTTGTTCCTGCACTCTCAGTAAGACTTCTTTAAAGTACAGCCAGCTCTCTTGGACATCTTTCCCTCTCAGTCTGGCTTCCCAGTGGATCCTGTCCACCAGTTCCCACAGTGAGTCAGCCTTGCTTT